TTTTTAACATCTATGGTTGGCTGAATCTGCACAAGCTGAACCTGGAAACCGAAAACAACAGCAACAACATGGGAATATTTCATCATTTTCAAAGTACATGCCCAAACGTGATCTCAGCTGATGCCTGTAACAGTAGGAACCAACCAAACTAAACCCACTGCCATAGACTTGATTCTGCACCGCCTCATAGGGTTTTCAAGGCTGTGGTCTGTATAGTGGAATCCTGCTGTAGGCACTGAACTGTCAACCACAAGGGAAGCAGTTCAGACCCACCAGGCACTCCTCGAAGACCCCATACAGGGTTGCTATGAGGTGGGATAACTTGATGGAAGGTAGCTAAAACAACAATCTTTATACAAGCAGACTACCACATTGTTCTCTCTCAGAGCGGCGGTTTGGTTTGAACACCTGATCTTTTGGCTGTAACTATCAAGGACTTTAACTATCAAGGGCTCCTGGAACAATAGAAAAGGCAGGTAATTTTACTTAAGTTTTTAGTATATGAGGTTTAGAAAAATTGAAGACTGGTTCTTCTGAATTCTGTTCCACAGCCTCAAAAAGTATTTGCAAGGATTTCAGGCTTCTGAAATGACTTGGAGTACGTACGGTAAGTGTGAATTGGAAGGGAAAAAAAAAGTGAATAGAAGGAAAGAGCATTTCTTGGCTTTCTGGTTGATAGTCTGCTCACATGAACCTTACAGGTGATATGAGATACACGCTTAAACTTTACAAGTTGATGGTGGTCATCTCTTTATTCAGAACTGATCAGAAGCACAAACAGTCGGGGAGACAGTGTCAGCTTTCTGCCACTTGCTCCCTACCTGTCAGGCCCTCCAGCTGGAAACAGAGGTGTTGAATTCCTGCCAGGTCTGGGGATTTTACTCTCTGGGTTAGCCTTTGATGTTTTCCCAGAAGCAAAATATTAAGACCTGACAACTTAATCACTCACTGCAACAAACACTTAGGGAAAGAAGCTACAACTTCCTGACCCCATCTATCCCCCTAAAAGACAACAGGACAAGAGATACACTAGCAGCCTGTTCAGTTTGCACCAGAAAACACAACATTAAAGACTGTGTGTCCTCTCTGCCCAGAGTCCCTGGGCCTGTGGCTGGCACATTACAAACAGGTTAAAGGGAGTATGTTATCCTTAATAGCATGGACTGGGCCCAGGCAACATGAGAAGGATGTCCTTCACTGCATGGACAAGTAAGAAGCAAAAACTTTTACTCACTTGAAAGGCCTGCTGACCAGTTCAGAGACTTCCCAAGCTCCTGGCCTAAATGCACAGAGTGTACAAGCAAGTGTCTATGCTCTGAATAACTCAAATTACTTTTGACTAAAGTCATGAGTCCTGGGGTGTGGCGCTGCAAGTTAATGCTATGGACTGCAAAGTTGGTTTGAACTGCAAGGTTGGTAGTTCAAGCTCACCAGCCGCTTCTAGGAAGCCCTATACAGGGTTGCTATTGGTCAGAACTAACTCAAGGACACTTAACAACAACAAACGAAAGTCATGATATTTAAATTTAAAACTCTTTTCCCCAGGCAGTACGTGACCTGAGCCTTTAATCCAGTTATTTTTAAATTCCACCAAAAAGATAAATCCATTCTTGGCCTAGGGCCAGAGGCATGGCTGTAAAAGAAAACTTCCTCATAGCTGTGAAATCAGAGAGCATCTCTGTTTACCCTTCTGACCCTCCTCCTCTTTCATAAGTTGAGATTTTGCACAATTACTATCTTGGAGAAGAACTGGTTTCAAGGGTGGGCCATGTGTGGCCACCTCTAGGAAGGTTTTACAGGGCTCTCAAGTTTTCTGGCTGAGTCAGGACCGCTCCGTCACAAAGGTGAATGTGAGGAGGGGGTACAACCTGGCAGGTGATGATGCACCTGTAGGATCCTGCATAAGTCGCCTGCACCTTGTCCACTTTGGAGGAACAGGGGTAAAGCTACGGAAGTCTAGAAGAGAATCACTCCCAAAACAGAGGAAATCCGAGGAGTGTGGGAAAGGAGTAAACGTTTAAGAGGTCAAAGTTTTTCCTGGAACTTTCCTATAGATCTTTAAATATGTTCTGAGACTCTGCAGTGTGACAAAGCTCTGAAGACATCCCCAGTCTTTGACAAGGGGCTTAGCTTACAGGGCGCTATGACCAATTCTCCTGAAGAGAACAAACATCACTCTGCTTGGCCTCCTATAGAAGAATCTGGAATGTGTGGTTCATTGCCTCTGAGAACAACTGCCTCCTTGGCCTGAAACCAGAAGAACTGGATAGGGCCCTGCTACCATTACTGAACATTCTGATCAGAGAGTTCACAGTACAATCCTGATCAAAAGGAGGAAAATGCAGAACAGAATTTCAAATTCTTATGGTCTCTAGACTTCCTGGTGCCAGGGAGGCTAGGTGAACCCCCAAAGTTATTGCCCTATGATTATCTTTATACTTTAAAAATATCCCTGAAGTCTTCTTAAAACCAAACAATAGTATAGTTTAACTAGTAAAGAATGTCTACCTTGAGAATTATGCTCTTGACAACAGCAAGTTGGAAGATTCTATGGGAACCTTAGGTGGCAGTGAGTTTATGTTAATAGGGGAGGAACAACTCAGAAAAGGAGAGTGAGAATGGCTATACAACATGAAGAACGTAATAAATGTTGCTGAATTGTATATGGAGAAATGGTTGAGTTGGTGTACGTTCAGCTGTGTATATTCTCAACAACAAAAAAGAAAATAAATTATCAAATAAAACTGGCATTAACTAAAACAGTGAGAGAGAGAGAACAAGCAAATAGCACTGGTTCAGGAAGTCTAGAGCAATAATTAGAAAGAAAATTCCAGGCCCTTCTTTGGTGCAAATTATGTAGGCAGAACGAGCTCATGACAACAACTATGGGCATCCACTTCCTAAGGAGCTGACCAGCCCTCGCAGCTGATGATGAAGGGACTGGAATCCTACAACTCCTTCTGCCCTCCCCTGGAGACATGGAGAAAGCTGGGAAGTCTGAGAACTGCTTGCTTCCTTGGTTTGGCTTCAGGTCTGCCTGGCAGGAAGTAGAGGGGAGAGGTCCCGGGTGATAACCGGGCCACATTCCAGATGGAGGCAGGCTTTCCTCTTCCGGCCAGTAGTCATAGAGGGCTGAGTTGATGGTGGGAAGCCAGTACACAGATACTCCCTAAGAAGTCAGAGGAACTAGGTGGTGGGAGGTGGCTTTGCCAGCCTTAAGACACCATTCACTCCTGGGGCATTTGCAGGTTAAATTTAGGCCAGCGGGCTCTGGCCAATGCTCTGATCTCTAAGGCCAGTAGTCCAGCCCCTGCTCCTACAAGCCCAGTTTTTCTTAGAGTTTCTGTGGACCATCACCATCCTGCTCTTCCGTCTGGCTTTTGCTTCAAGTTCAGACTTAAGAGCCTCATAGAAATACTCCTGAAGCTCCCCCGACTCTTCCTTGGAAACAAGGTTTGCCTGTGTCTTGGCTCACATTCCTGGTGAATAAGAGTGGTCCATTTTTCATGCAACAGAGTCACCCTCACACCAGAGATGGTCCTATTAATAGTAATCCTTCTTAGTCCTGCTGAAAAACCAGTGGCTCAGATGTCAGCCTGCACATCTGGAAAATGTTAAGGTGTTATTTGATTAACACATTTACAGCTTGGGCTTTCTGTGAACGACATGGAAGGCAGTGTGTGTGGTGGGGGGAGAGATGGGGAGGGGAGGAAAGGAAGGAAGCAGTTGCCTTCTCTGCAGCTACTAGTGAAAGGACTTTTTCTCTCCATTACTGGGATGTCCACTCCTTACAAGAGTGACGGAAGACCACAGGGAGGTCCCAAGATGCCCCTAAATGAGAGATGAGTTAGTTCAGTTCCAGAAAGCCAAGGTTCATTTGTCCTCAGCGTAACACACTCCATGCTTTACAGAGATATTCTTCCCACCAAGCACGATGTCCGCTCTTAGACTACTTTACAGGGCATGCCCAGCTCACACACAGCGGAGATCATGGCCACAGAGTGGCCTGAAACTTCTAGTGTAAACGGTTCTGCTGACAGCAAAAGCAAGGCTGGCTTTAACTCTTTATAATTTAGCTGTATTCCTCTTCAAATAGTTCAGCATCTTGCGTTCAGGTCTGGCCAACCAGTGATGACTGAGCAAAAATTAATCCCCACTACGGATCCCATTTAGGAAAAAGAAAAAAAAAGTTGTCAAGTCAATTCCGAATCATGCCAGAGTAGAACTGTGTTCCACACGGTTTGCAGTGGATGATTTTTTGGAAGTGGACAACAGGCTTTTTTTCTGAGGAGACTTTGGGATCTGGGTGGACCTGAACCTCCAACCTTTGGTTAGAGTTGAATACTTAACTGCTTGTACTGCCCAGGGACTTCTATGGATATGTTGTGGGGGAAGCCAGGAGGAAAGGAAAAATAGCAACAGAATCTTTTAAGATTTACTCTTAGTCCATAGATAATTCTGTAAATCTGAACAGTTGATGAGTGTCTGCTTCTACCCACAGGAGACACGCACCATGTCTCCCCACAAAGGCATCACACTGCTCAGAATGAGCGGAGTTCCACAGCGTGAACACAGAAGGTTACTTGTAAATGGCAGAGGCAAGCGTCTTGAATAAGCACAGATGTTAACTAGAAAACCAGTCACCAGAAGCCCCGGGCCACTTGGATCTGCTCTGGAAATGGACATATACACACACTCCACACACTGTCGTCAAAGTGTCATCCACTTCAGAACTTTACTCTGTAAGTGTATTGCTGAACTTCCCTTTTGCCCTTTAATATGAAAGCCGCTGGGAGTTTTACAAGATTCGCAAAAAACGAAGTAAGTCACGTGTCTGCACTCAACTTCCCACTCTCTCTCTAGCAGGAAGGGGCTCCACAGGTACAGCACACCATGCAGTCTCTGAAATCCCTTCTCCAGACTCAGGCCTCAACAAGGAACCCTCTCTTTTCATACTAGAAAGAAAAGGAAAGTAAGATAGGTCAGTAGGCTCAGCTTACCCTGACCAGAGTGTGTGCTTCAAACGTCCTCAGTCAGAATTGCCTCTTTTTCCAGACAGATTCCTGCACACTGGCTCAGGCTGGACAAATTCCTTCCAAGTCTCTTAACTGAAGACTGTGATGTCACAGTAGGCCCTCCCTCTGTTCCCTAAAAGGCCATTCACACAAAGAGGGACTTTAACCTCCTTCAAAGAAGCCAGGCCCCTCCCAAGCTGTCCAGAGCCTGGAGGGCAGTGGCTGTCCCAGGCAGAGGCAGCTGTTATTGGCTTCCAAGGGGGCCCCCAGGGCTGAGTGGGGAAGGCAGCACAGATGGGTATGCAGAGGAACTAGTTCCTACTGCCTTCTTGGAAATTCAGAGATGGAATTTAGGACAGACATGGAATTAGCATCTCAGTGTGGCAGCAAAAAAATCTAAAAGATTCTAAAGAAATCTCATCAGGACAGCTTATATATGTGTGTATGTGTAGCGCTGTGGGTTAATGCGCTGTACTGCAAAGTCGTTTGAACTGCAAGGTCGGCTCATCAGCTGCTCCTCGAAAACCCTATACAGGGTCACTATGGGTTGGAACCAAATCAACAGCACTTCACAACAACAACAACTTCTCCAAGACAGATTTCTTTATTCCTCTGGAAGTCCATTCTTTGCCAATTCAAAGGCATCAATTCTTCGGTCTTTCTTATTCACTCTCCAATTTTCACAAGCATATGATTAAAATACCATAGCTTAGATCAGGGGCACTGGAGCTCCAGTAGCATAGCGGTTACGAATTGGGCTGTGAACCGCAAGGTCAGCAGTTCGAAACTACCAGCTGCTCTGCGGGAGAAAGAGGAGGCGTTCTGCTCCCGTAAAGATTAATAGCCTCGGAAACCTGTGCAGGGTCGCTATGAGTCGGAATCGACTCCACGGCATACAACAACAACAACAACATAGTCCTCAAAGTGCCATCTTTGCTCTTTAACATTTTACAAGAGACCTTTTGCAGCAGATTTGCCTAATGCAATCCGTTGTTTGATTTCTTGACAGCTGCTTCCATGAACATTGATTGTGACTCCAAACAAAATGAAGTCTTGACAACGTCAACCTTTTCTCCATTTATCATGATGTTATTTACTGGTCCATTTGTGAGGATTTTTGTTTTCTTTACTTTAAGGTGCTGTACTGGTAGCGTAGTGGTTACGAATCGGGCTGCGAACCTTAAGGTCAGTGGTTCGAAACTACCAGCCGCTCCGCGGGAGAAAGATGAGGCTTTCTACTCCCGTAAGGATTTACACCCTCGGAAACCCTGTACAGGGTCACTATGGGTCGGAACCGACTCAACAGCACTTAACAACAACAACAACAACAACCCATACTAAAGGCTGTGGTCTTTGATCTTCATTAATATGCATTTCACTTTCAGCAAGCAAGGTTGTGTTATCTGCATATCACAGGGTGTTAACAAACATTTCTCCAATCCTGAAGCTATGTTCTACTTCATATAGTCAAGTGTCTCAGATTATTTATTCAACATATGGATTTAATAAGTATAGTGAAAGGATACAACCCTGATGCACAAAGTACCCTCTTGTTCTGTTCGAACAGCTACCTTTCGGTCTATGTACAAGTTCCTCATGAGCACAATTAAGTGTTCTAGATTTCCCATTCTCCACAATGTTATCTATATAATTTGTTATGACCCACACAGTCTTTAGGTGTCCTGGTGTGGTGTGGTAGGTAAGAACTCACCATAAGGTCAGTTTGAACCTCAAGGTTGAAGTTCAAACTCACCAGCATCTTCTTGGAAACCCTGTAAGTTGGAATCTACTCAAAGGCACTTAACACATAGTCTTTGCATAATCAATAAAACACAGATAACACCTTTCTGGTATTCTCCGCTTTCAGTCAATATCCAGCTGACATCAGCAATGGTCGGCTTCATACCACCTTCTCTTCTGTATCTGGGGTTAAATTTCAGACAGTTTCCTGTTACTGTACTGCTGTAACTATTATCTTCAGTACAATTTTATTTACATGTGATATTTATGATATTGCTCAATAATTTTTGTGTTCTGTCGAATTACCTTTCTTTAGAATGGGTTGGCACAAACATGGATCTCTTCCAGTGAGGTAGTTGTCTTCCAAATATCTTGGTATAGACATGTGAGTGCTTGCAATATTTTATCATTTATTGAAACAACTCAGTTGGTATTCTGTCAATTCCTGGAGCCTTCTGTCTTTTTCCTGCCAATGCCTGCAGTGTAGTTTGAACATCTCTTGTCAGTACCACTGGCTCTTGACTATATGCTACACCTCATGAAATGGCTGAATATTGACCAGTTGTTGTTTTTGTTTGCTTGTTTGCTTGTTTGTTTTGTTTTGGTACAGGGTCCTCTGCCTTGGGAATATCGAGTAGATCCCAACTTTGTCCTCAAATTCCATCTACCTTGGAACTTTGGGGTTACCTGGAAATTTCATGTCATTATCAGCATTCCAGGTCACTTTAGGATTGCTGACTTTTCCCCAGTAAGATTTTGGAGATGATAGAAAGAAATGAAATTTTCAGTCAATGGAATGAGGAGAGAGGACAAACTGCACACATGTCCTTACAGTTGTGTTGGGCTGCCTGGTTTGGGGTCAGGTTGGGAGCAGTTTGTACTGGTTGGTAAAGTGAGGTAAACAGTCCAAAAAGGGAAGCAGAGTTCCTGATCAGAGGCTTGTGACCAGTATGCTGGCCAGCAATGCACATCTGCTGGGACCTGCCACTCAATACTGGTCAAGATAGGATAATCACACACGCTGAGGCCCAGCCAGGCTCTAATGACTTTACAACTAGTTACAACATCTAAATGACATTTTAATACACTGAAATTTAAAAGCATATGGGAGTGTCTCAGTGCAGCCACTGCTTGGTGACTGACTACAAGTCAGCTACTAAGGAATGGGAATTCTGAATGTATGCTGCCCTTTGGAATAACTGGAATATTTTGCTGTATAACCAAAGGCATTTCAAGATGTTACTTAACAATTTCAAGTAAAATGACATGCGAAAAATCCGAAACTAATTGTCCCATTTAGAAATGAAAACCCATGGCTGGACCCTGGATTAATAATGCGCCTTCACCCAAGAGGCAAGAGTGGTATCTGAGGCCCATTTCATAATCACATCTGTCCCTCCACAATATCTGAAAAGGTTTGTAAAAAACAGAAAGATTTTTAATCTGCCACTTTCATAAAATAAATAAAAGCCGTGCATACTTTTAAAATACTTTTTTCAAGTACTTGACATGCTTTTCCAAAAATCAGCTGATGAAAAGCGAATGGGATACCAACAGTTTGAACCCATTGATTCACCATAAGCTGGAGAGTTGACTCATTGACAACTAACAACAACAGGCAAGTTTATAACTTGGAGTCTAGAGATGTAGTGGTTCACGAAACCCACATGCTCACTCACGTGTGCACTCACTTAAACATACATGCACACTCACACACACAGATACACATTCATTCATGTGCACATGCTCACACACACATTAGGAAGAAAAAAAACCAAAAACCCCACACTCCTAACACACACGCTCGCATGCATACATAAACACAACCCTCCGGCTGCAAAAATAAGGTGGAGTTTAGAAAAACACTCTGTGGCAAAGTCACAGTTGGGAATCCAGAAAGGTGGTTCCTATTCAGAGGCATAAAAGAAATTAAATGCGGATGCTAGATTTGGTTGTAAAGGGAATAAGTTGAGACATCCAACACAGGATGGCAGGGAAGTCTCCTGCAGAAATGACCAACGAGAATCTTGGTGCCAGTCTTCTTATCACCTCCTAAGCACTGAATCTGAGCTTGCAGTGGGTTTTCTGAGCTTATGGAATAAAAGCTGGACTGTTACTTGAATTCTCAACTGTTATTTGAGTTGTATCCTGATCTATTTAGTCTTTGAGGGTACCTTACTCTGAGGGAAATGATTTTTATTGTTGTTAGGTGCTATCTAGTCAGTACTAACACATAGAGACCCTATACACAACAGAATGAAACACTGCCCGGTCCTGTGCCAACCTCACAATTATTGCTAAGTTTGAGCCTATTGCTACTGCCACTGTGCCAGTCCACCTGGTTAAGGGTCCTCCTCTTTTTCGCTGACCCTCCACTTTACCAAGCATGATGTCCTTTTCCAGGAACTGGTCCCTCTTAATAATACGTCCAAAGTATGAGAGACGAAGTCTGGCGATCCTAGCTTCCAAGGAGCATTCTGGCTGTACTCTTCCAAGACAGACTTGTTTGTTTTTCTGCCTATGGTATTTTAAAAATTCTCCTCCAACACCACAACTCAAAAGCATCAATTCTTCTATGTTCTTCCTTATTCACTCTCCAGCTTTCACATGCATATGAGGTTATTGAAAAGGTCATGGCTTGGGTCAGGTGCATCTCAGTCCTCAAGCTGATTATCTTTGCCTAATGCAATACATCCATGAGTACTGGTGGCTGATTTGAGCAAAATGAAGTCTTTGACAACTTCAATGTTTTCTCCATTTATGTTGATGTTGTTTATTCGTCCAGTGGTGAGGACTTGTTTTCTTTACACTGAGGTGCAACCCATACCGAAGGCTGTGGACTTTGATATTCATCAGTAAGTATTTAAGCTCAGCAAGCAAGGTTGTTATCATCCGCACATGGCAGATTATAAAAGACTCTTCTTCCTGTCCTGATGACACATTCTTCTCCATATAATCCAACTTCTCAGATTATTTGCTCAGCAACAGACTGAATAAGTATGGTGAAAGAATACAACCCTGGCACACACCTTTCCTAATTTTAAACCATTAGGTGTTTCCTCGTTCTGTTTGATCAATGCCTCTTGGTCTATGTACAGACATCTCATAATCACAAGGAAGTGTTCCGGAATACTTATTCTCTGCAATGTTGTCCATAGTTTGTCATGATCCACACAATCGAAAGTGTTTGCATTGTTGATAAACCACAGGTAAACATCTTTCTTGTATTCTCTGCTTTCAGCCAAGATCCATCAGCAACTATATTCCTTGTTCCCAGGCCTCTTCTAAATCCGGCTTGAACCTCTGGAAGTT